TATTAAAGATTATTAAAAAACTAATAAAATTTATCTAACCTATAATATCACCAATTTAATGAGTTTATTTTAATTTTAATAGAGAAGTAAATTTATTGATTAAATTAAATTTTTAAAATTTTTTATTTATTTACATATTTTTATTTTTAAAATTTTATATTAAGTGATATCTAATATTACATGAAAACTAAATTTTATTTTTAAGTTAAAACCGTTGATAATATATATTGGTAATATATTAAAAAACTCTTTATTCCTCTATTTAATATGATTGTAGATAAAATGATTGTCTAATTTTTAGGCAGAAATGCACATAAATTTCAGATAAAATATAAATTGATCCTAAAAGAATATAAATATTATTTTTATGAGTTTAAAATACTTACGCCTTATGTTTACCTTAAAAATTTATCTATTTAATGTAAAAATTATTTAAAATGTTAATAAAACTGATTATAAGATATTTTATCTAATTAGTCAATTATCATCCTAAAATTTTTCAACATTTATATAAACAATTATTTTTTAAGTATAAACTTATATTTATATTTTTGATAAAAAGGTTTTAGTGTATGTTGTATTATTATAATAAATATAACAAAATTTTCTACAGTATTAAAAAATAAAAAGATAAAATAAATAATGGAACTTTTTGATTAGTATAATTATTAATAATGTACTAGTATACTTTTAGTAGATAGTAATCTTATAATAATATTTAGTACTATATATATTATAAATAAAAAAAAATAGTAGAATTTTTAAAAATCATAAAAGTTCTAAGAAGATGAGATTAAATAGTAAAAAGTTAGAGTAGTTTTTGAAAGCTTTTTTCATATAACTATATTAATATTAAATTAATTGATAACTATAATTATAATATAGATGGCATTAATATAGCTGACTAATTATAAAGTTATTATTTAACACAATTGATCATTAATCAAACCTAAATACCATTATTTTTTTGGATATTAGATATATCTATCATCAATTCTTATCTCATTAGTAAAAAGTTAGAAATAATAAAAGTTAAAACTTTTAGGTTAGAATTGATTTATAAATTAATTAAAGATTCTTTAAATAATGATCACTTTTTAAAAAGATTTATAATAATAATAATATCTAATCAGATAGAGTTGAAAAGTTGCTTAATAAAAATACTTAAAGAATTTTTGTAATAGATTTATTAAATTATTATTATATAGATTAAATAATAATAGTATTTTCAAGCTTAAATACTATATTATTAGGATAACAAAATAATTTATATTTAAGAAAACAGATATTAACAAAAGTATAAATTTTATATTATTAAAATTATACTTTATTGAATTGTAAGATAGAAATTTATCCTTTTACTAAAGCTATAATATATGTTATTTATCTAAAATACAGATATAAGAAAAAAATAATTAATATAGTAAAAATAATAAATATAATTGTGAAAATAATAATAGTAAATAAAATAAAGATAAATAATAAAATAAATATAATATATAAAATAATAATAGCTGTGATAACAGTAAACATTAATAATAATGATCAAACTTTTTATAAAAATTATTAGTAATCTTAATTGATATAGTCATTTAGTAATGTATATGAATTATTATTAATAGCATTATGTGAAATATAAAGTAATAAAAGAAATATATTTGTAGTTTTACTATCAACTAAGATTACTTATCTAAACTTATTTTGGATTTAGCAAAATATTTAAATTATAGTTTTGCTAATTTTTACTAAAGTTTTGATATAGTTTTACACTTTGATATAGTTTTACCTTTTTCAGAATTTTGCAGATTTTTTAATTAGATTTTAATATAAAATTTTTATAAACAAATATGCTTGTAAAATCTTACAATTTAAAGGATAGTAAATAGTATAATTTGAATTTATTTAGTAGTTTTTTTATTACTTTTTCAATATTATATATTTTATTAACTCTTATTTTTAAAAAAAACTTTAATATTACCAAAATATCCATCTGATAAAAATTTTGTATATTCTGAAACTATAAAATTAACTTAAATAGTTTTATACTTCTGATCATTGTTAACTAAATCTAAAAGAGAGAGAGAGAGAGAGAGAAATTGCTTTTAATTTGAGTTATACAATTGTTACAAGTTATTTTTAAATGCTATTCTTTTTGATAAAATTTGTTTAAGCATTAAATACAAAATTAATAATTATATAAATTTCTTTTTCTATAAAATTATTTAGAAATTAATCTTCATCAATTAAATAATTTAGTTGTTAATTTTCTTTTATATTATATACTTTAAAAAATATATTATAAATATTATTTTAAAATAAATTTATCTAACTTATTGTGATAAAAAAGGAATTGAAATATTCTTTATCCAATCATAATAAATGTAAATTATTTCTTTAGATATACTACTAGTTATAATATTATTTTTATAATATTGACACTTCTTTTCTGTTTTATTTTGATGATTTTTCAAATCTAAATACTACTTCTTTTTTTAATATTTTTGCATATTGAATATTTTTTTTAATATTTTATATTGTAATAGAGTAATTGAAAAATAATAATAAATTTATGTGAATAATAAAGTATAAAAATCTCTTGATTCAGAATTCTGAAAATACTGGGAATTTTGCAAATTCTAAAAATACAGAGGATTTACATAATTCTATAGATCTTTCAAATACTGATGGTAATCCTAATTTTACAAATTAAATGAAATCTAGAAATATCTAATGTTACACTTATTTTTAATATTTTACTTTTATTATTATTTTATTATATTATATATTTTTATTATTTTACATATTTTTATTATTTTAGTATATTTAATTTACTTAGTTAGTTTATAGAATAGTAAATAGTTAGCTGTAAAAAAAAAATTTTATATAAATAAATAGACATTTTGCTTATATTGTAAATTAATTCTTTTGTAGATTTATAAACTCTTTTACAAATATGAATTTAATATTAATAAAGAAATCAATTAAAATTTATATTTTTCTGCTTTTTTGTTTTTTATATAGTCTAGCATAATCTTTTTATATTATTTGTAATTTTATCTTTTAAGTCTTCATACTTGATAGATTTGTCAAAATTTAGCACATAGATTTAGTAAAGTTAAGAATTAGACAGATTCTAATGTCTTAGCCATAGTAAGCTGCAGTTAGCAACCTTAAATAAAGACTTAAGAATGTGATTAATTTATATTAAAGAATTCTAGGGTGATAATATATATCACATAAATCTGTATTAGATTTTATGAATTTAATATTTATTGTGAGATTTTTCAAGTTGAACAAAGCTTTTGTATGATATAATTGAAGCACCATTATCTAATCTTTTACTAACTGCAATAAAATCTTCATATACAATATTATTGTTTTTTTTAAATAAATAATAAAATAACTATCAAAGAATCATTTATATATAATAGCTTAGTGAAGAAAATCCATAAAAATTTGTATAATTAATAATAAAATTATAAACATTGGTTGATTTTTCTTAATTAATTGTAATTATTGTGCTATTTTAAGAAGATTTTTTATATTTATATATTGTTTTTTTATTAATCCTTAAGTTAATAAATGATTTTAATTGCTATAAAATACTAACTAAAATTCTAACAAGTTTAAGAAATATATCTTTATATAAGAAATTTCAGAATTGAGTGATAATCAAAAAATTTTCTATTTTTTTGACTATTAATTATTTTTTATTATTAGAAAAAGCTAATAATTGGCCATTAAAACAAAATTCAACTGTGTTTTTTTCAAATTATGAAAATTTTAAATGTTTTAAAAAAAAGCTTTAAATCCAATTTTTTCAAAACATTTTTCTTTTTTATTTCAACAAGTACAAGTAGCAGAAGAGAAAATTTGATGTAAATTATTAATAGCCTTTTGTATAAATTCATTATCTTCATACTGTTCTAAAAGGTATATTTGATAAAAAGAGGATAATTATTTTCTTTATCATTATCTTTAATGGTAAAACAAAAATTATTATGTATAACAAAAACATTGATTGACAACTGCATATTATACTAAAATAAACTTAAATTTAAGGGGTAAATAAATAAGTTGATGTTACATATGTTGATCAGTGAATTTCTCAAAAAAGTGAGATATTCTCGGAGGTACATTTTGCTAGTCCATGACCAAAATGAGAAATTTTGACGGCCTAATTGCTTGCTTTGTTAATAAGATAATCGACTATAAAATTTACTAAATAAAGTTCATATATCTCATATTTTTTTGGATGGGTCCCATAACCTGATTTTAATAGCTTTGCTTTCATATGTTTGTCCACTATATCTTGAATTTTGCTGATCAGATCTCCTGATCATCCGGTACCCGGGTCAAGCAAAAACTCATATCATTCGAAGTTTCGTCATAGTTATTACACACGATTGACGAATATTATATCTATTGCATAATTTTTCGTAGCACAAAAGCATGGTAACCAGCTTTTTTGAATACAATTGTGTGAATATTAATCAGATAAATGTACGACACAAAGCGAATTTTCGTTGGCCTACTTAATTGTTTGTACAACTAGTATAACTTACTATAAAATGTTTTTGTATTACTTGTAAAATCCGAAAATTAATAATTTAAAACTCTGGTGAAATATTTTCAGAAAAAAATGATATGTTTCGCGCATTGTGGCGCAGCTTTTGATTATCTTCAAAAAAAAATCTTGCGCCTCTTTTCTTCCTTCGAATCATATCGTTTCTGCGGTATCAGGTGTTAATTTTTTTAGTTACTTTATTGGATCTCCACTATTAATTATAATATTCATTTAATACAATGTTGGTGATCATTAATATAAGTTACTATATTAAGAATGATTCCAGTTTAAGAATGATTCTAGTTTTCAAAATGATCTTTTAAATTAATTATTAGATGGGTTTCATATTTAGTTTCAAATATTTGAATATCTAGCTTTAATTTTCTTAGCCTTGTTTTTTTTTTATTAACATAGTTTGTAAAACAAAAATAGAATGACGACCAAATTTGGTATCATAAAGCGCAGATCATGATTAAAGAATAGTTTTCTCTCTCATTCTAAGAATGGAAACAGTATATTTTTTCTTATAAAAAGGCATTGATTTCAATTTACTCTGAATTTAAGAATTCGATAACTAACAAAACTAATATCAGCAAAAAAAAATCAATAAAGTCAACTTCTCAAAGAAATTAATAATCATGAACCGAAAATTTATTTTTGCATTCCTCTTATTGGTCACACTCACCATGGTCAATGCAGTTCCACAAAAAAGAACCACCAGCTTTGGTGCATGTCCCCCACCAGAAGGTTCAAATACCCAAATACCCGTACTCCAAGTATCACTTTCAACCGATCCTCCCGTCGCTGGACAAAAAGATGCATTTACTGTTTCCGGAAAATTTACAAAAGATGTTACCGATCAAACCATACTTGCGATTGCATTTGTTGATATAAGTGGTAAAAAACCTATACAAGATCCCACTACTGTTCCTGCTTGTACTGGAAGTGGATGTCCAATTAAAGCTGGTGACCAATATACTCAAACGGTGGAAGTTCAAGCACCAGCAAACTTACCTAGCACGTACATTTTGGCAGTTGGTGTCGGAAATTCAATAACTGATCCTTTAGGCTGTGCATTTGCTATTGTTTAGTTGGTGACTCAGTTAGAACTTTAAAGTCACTATTTTTAAATTTTACGATTTTTTATTTTGATAATCTTGAAAAAAAGAGGATCAATTCATTTATTTTTTCATTAACTACTTATTTTAAATATGTAATAATTTTTAGCAAATAAATTTACAGCAGTTCGTTTACTTTATAATTCTTTGTTTCGTGTTAGCCGTTGATCTTTGTAATATCATTATTATTGTTCATATATAGTATATCGCTCGCAATCAATGTTATATATTATTAATGCAAAAAAAAAAAATTATTTTCATGAATTGATTGATAAAGCATAGACAAAATCCGCTGCATTCGCAATTTAATCATCATTTCTTTAGCTTCAAAAATTCGGATTCTATAGTGACAATTTTATGTATAACATTGTATTTAAATCATATTTTGATTGTTTAATTCTACCTTTATTATATCTTTGATCTCGCTTTCTTACTTTCTTTATCTACATGACAAATTTAAACATTTTCGCGCCTATATTCAAAAAAATTTGCCCAAAAATTTTTATAAAACCAGTATACTTCCACCGCTTTATTTTGTTAAATTTTTTTGCATATCGTTGAGATCTTTACTCATAACCTTACAAAAAGTAATTGACGAATATGTATTTGGTAATTGCGTTCGTATTATGAAATTTAAGCTACGCGAGTTTCCGATGAATATGTATTATTAATTAATTAAAGATTATTTTTTAAAATTTTCATAACTAACACGATAATATATTATTTACCGTTAGTGAAGCATCCTTGCTCTCTTTTTACGTCGACCACATGAAATGTACCAAATCTATATTTCTTATTTAATTAAATTTTCAATTTTAAGTTATAAATTCATGTAATAGGAAAAAACAATCCAAGTTCGTTAGAACTATCATACAATAAAACCAAGCCGAGTCTAAATATATTTTATTCAACTCGAGCCTGCAGTGGAACTTTATTCATATCCATTAAGATCACTTTGATATAGCGTATGTAAGCTGAAACTCTATCTAAAGTAGTATTATTATTATGTCACATGATATAAATGAAACAAGATATTGTATAAAAGTCAAACATATTCTAAACAAAATTTTATTTGCTACACCATTTCACGCAAAAAAAAAAAATGAGTTACAAAACAATAAAAGCATTAACTAAGGGATTATTTCATAAAAAGTTACAAATAACTAATTC